TTATTTGTTCTCACCATTAAAAATTACTACGTGAAGGAGTGCATGTGTTATTTAGCTTGATTTAGCTTTTCCACAATGTACACATTTATCACAACATCATGTTATAATCACAAATATATACAATGTTATTTGGCAATTTAAAAATTTTCACCCACAAAAAAAGAATACCGGGTCTTAATCACCCTCACTTCAGCTCAACAAAAATGGTCTATTCTGGAGTTCGAGACCGGCCTGGCCAACATGGTGAAACCCCGTCTCTACTAAAAATACAAAACTTAGCCAGGCATGGTGGCATGTGCCTGTAGTCTCAGCTACTTGGGAGGCTGAGGCAGGAGGATCGCTAGAACCTGGGAGGTGGAGGTTGCAGTGAGCCGAGATTATGCCACTGCACCACTCCAGCCCGGGCAACACAGTGAGACTCCATCTCAAAAAAAAAGGGGGGGGGGCAAAGGACATAAACAGACACTCCTTGAAGACATACATGTGATCAACAAGCATATGAAAAAATGCTCGACATCACTAATCGTTAGGGAAATGCAAATCAAAACCACAGTGAGATACCAGTCAGAATGGCTTTTGTTAACAAGTAAAAAATAGCATGTTGGTGAGGCTGTAGAGAAAAGGAAACATTTATGTACTGCTGGTGGGAATGTAAATTAGTTCAGCCACTTTGAAAAGCAGTTTGGAGATTTCTCAAAGAACTTATACCAGAATTACCATTTGTCCCAGCAATCTCATTACTGGGTATGTACCCATAGAAATATCAATTGTTCTACCAAAAAGACAAATGCCCTTGTATGTTCATCATAGCACTATTCACAATAGCAAAGACATGGAATCAACCTAGATGCCTTTTCGAAGTGGACTGGATAAAGGAAGTTTGGTACACATACACGCGCACGCGCACACACACACATAAATAGTGGAATACATGCACACACACACACACACACACACACACAGTGGAATACTATGCAGTCACAAAAAATGAAGCCATGTCTTTTGCAGCAACATGGATACACCTAGAGGTCATTATCTTTAGGGAATTAATGCAGTAACAGAAACAAAACTGCATGTTCTCACTTATAAGTGGGAGGTAAACACTGAGTACACATGGCCACCAAGAAGGGAACAATAGACATTGGGTGTTACTCGAGGATGAAGGTCAAAAAACTACCCATCAGGTACTATGCTCACTACCTGGGTGACAAAATCATTTTTATACCAAATCCAGTGACAGGCAATTTATGTAACAAACCTGCATGTGTACCCCCTGAACCTAAAGTAAAAGTTGAAAAAAAAGAACTTTTATCAACATTTTTTGCAGTGAACATATGTTAGTGATGAACATTCTCTGCTTTTCTTTGCCTGAAAATTTATTTATTATGTATTCATATTTGAAATATATTCTCATTGGGTGTAAAAATTCTAAATTACAATTGTTTCCTCTTTTCTATATTAAAACTTTCATTCCAATGTCTTCCATATTGCCTTATTTGTGATGATGCCTTCTATTTTTCTTTTTTTTTTTTTAACAGTTTACTGTTTATTTTTTTTAAATACATCAATCTAGTGTACAAAGAACTAAAGCTTTAACAAAGGGGAACAGTCAATAAAGGACACCTTTGCTGATCCATTGCTTCGTCTTTTCATTTGTAAATGATAATGAATTTGGCAACCATTGTGCCCCTTATTACAAACTCAAGAATAGGATCCCATCCATTCCTAACTCTTCTGTTTTCTGAGCAGGATTTTTTATTTTATTTATTTATTTGCATTTTAGGTTTTATTTTTCTTATCTTTGTTCCATTTATAAGAAGTGTTCCCCAACTGCAGACTGATTAAAAACATCTTTTTAATTAAAAAAGCAAAAGAAAGAAACATTTTTATTTGAGGGTGTCTCAGATTCAGAGACCACCCAATCTTCAGATTTCAAATAACTTATACCCAAACATTTGGTAATATCAGCTACTTGATGATCTTCCTGGAGGGCAGATACGTTCTAGAGATGAGAACACATCATGATTACAAATGCTACCACCACTAGGGCATGCACAACTTTCTCAGCACATTGTGGGAACTTCTGGACATCATCTGCTGTTATCATTGCCCCTTATCTGGGCAGATAATTTTCTCCATTGGAATGAGAAAGTCTTGCTTCATGCTCTTTAACTGTGTGACCTTGGGCATATTACTTTACTTTGGGGCAAATCATTTTCCTTCTTGAGGACCAAATGTGCTCTTTTATAAAATAAGCAGTTAGGATTAGATTGTCTCTCTGGACACGGCTTATGTAGACAAACTGGATCACACTGGAGGATCGCATTGAGACCTTTATGTCGGCCTCAATTTCTCCATCTGTAAAGTAGAGGTTGGGCTTAGATTATAGATGATAAGGACACCAACTTTCCTGGAAAGGATTCCGAACTCAGGCTCAGCCTCAGTGAGAGGGAGTTCTGCGATTAAACAGAGATGCCTATCTCAGCAACAGAAATGGGCAGGTCAATCACGTATGCTGTGCCTTGGCAAAGATTTTATGCTACGCTGTGCATTTGATATCCATTCTCTATATTTGATATCCAGTCTAAGATTATCTAAAGGGTCCTTTCTAAGACACTGATAAGATATATATATATGTCAGGATAAAAGCAACTTTTAACATTTAATGTGTGCCTCTGATCTGATTACATCCCACAGAGAAATAGAGACAATACAGGTTAATGAAGAAGGATGATAAGATTTTTTTTTTGGTGGCAGTGGGAGGACGGAGTTTCGCTCTTGTTACTCAGGTTGGAGTGCAATGGTGTGATCTGGGCTGACCGCAACTTTTGCCTCCCAGGTTCAAGTGATTCTCCTGCCTCAGCCTCCCAAGTAGCTGGGACTACAGGAGCCTGTCACCACGCCCGGCTAATTTTTGTATTTTTTAGTAGAGACAGGGCTTCACCATGTTGGCCAGGCTGGTCTTGAACTCCTAATTTCAGGTGATCCTCCTGCCTCAGGCTCCCAAAGTGCTAGGATTACAGGTGTTAGCCACTGCACTTGGCCCAGTATGATAAGATTTTAAAAATTCAATTAAAATATAGAAATTTCAAAAAGGAAGTGCAGTGATAGCAAAATAGATGCAAACGGTGCAAGTATGAAATCTATTTTATAGCTGAGTCTAATTTTCTTGGTCCTGAGATTCTATTTCCATTGGTTTTCAAATAATTAATTACATTGATTTTTCAGGGAGATTACTAGAATCACTAATAATTATTTTCTTAGTGACACAAAATCTAAAAAACACAGTATTGACCTTCTCTATCTCCCCTTATCCTTATGTCACCTCCCCCTACCCCAAATACTCCAACTGGGTAGCTACCAATGGCAGAGTAGAGAATATATGCACTAACAAAACCATATGCACAGAGGTGGGGTATCCATCTCTGACTCGGCTGAGCTAGTCTAAGGATGGAAGGCTCTGTGGCCATTGTCCTTGGAAGTCGTTCTCACAGATTGGTATTCTCAAGTAGGTGGTGCTTGAGTGGTCCAAGAGCACCCACATGCTGCTCTGCATTTTTCTGACAACCTCTTCATGATCTCTGAATCATGAAAATATGGCAGATCATATTGCATCTCTCAATTGGAAAGTCACTTTTCTCATCTCCATGGAAATTTTTTTTTTCTTTTTCTTTTTTCAATCCTCTTTTTTTTTTTTTTAATGAAACTGTCTTTTTTTTTTTTATTGGATTATAGGTTTTGGGGTACATGAGCAGAGCATGCAAGAGAGTTGCGTAGGTTTTCCCTTAGAGCTTCCACTTTTTAAACTCACTTCTCCAATTTCCCCACTACGTCTCTGACAGATGAGAACATTAGAGATTCCTTGTTTTTCAAAAACAAAACGAAATTCATCAAAACTATAAATACACGAAGGGGAAGTCTGTATTATCTTCCGCCAAAATATACTACTCGTTTTCTTCCTAAATGTTTAACTTTTGTAGGTACATAGTAGGTACATATTTGCGGGGTACATGAGATGTTTTGATAAAGTATGCAATGCATAATAGCCACATCATGGAAAGTGGGGTATCCATCCCCCCAAGCATTTATGCTTTCTGTTACAAATAATCTAATTATACATTTTCACTATTTTTAAATGCATAATTAAGTTATGTTTTTACTGTAGTCACCTTGTCATGCTATTAAGCACCAGGTCTTATTTCTTTTTTTCTAACCATTTGTTGTACCCATTAACCACCCCCACCTCCCCATACACGTCCACTACTCTTCCCAGCCTCTGATAACTATCCTTCTACTCTATCTGCTATGAGTTTAATCGTTTTGATTTTTAGATTTCACAAATAAGGGAGAACATGCAATGTTTGTCTGTGTCTGGCTTATTTCACTTAGCATAATGACCTCCATTTCCATCCATGTTATTGCAAATGACAGCATCTCATTATTTTTTATGGCTAAATAGTACTCCATTGTGTGTAAGTTCCACATTTTCTTTATCCACTCATCTGTTGATGGACACTTAGGTTGCTTCTAAATCATGGCTATTGAGAATAGTGCTGCAACAAGCACAGGTGTTCAGATATCTATTTAATATACTTATTTCCTTTTGCAGGGGGGAAGGTATAGACCCAGCAGGGAGGCTGCTGGATTGATTGGACTGCCACAAGTGATACCTTTACACACCATTCTGCTGTCACTGGGTATGTACAAAGTGTTTCATACAGGCAGAGGAGAAAGGCAATCGACCCAAGTTAAAAAAAACTTCTTGGGGCTGTTGCTTTCCATCAGACCTTACAGTTCTACAGGATAATAGCTTATCTCATAAGGCCTCAGTTTTCTTTAATAATTTCTAGAAGCAGACATTACTGTGTCATGCACACTCAGTGTTGCAAATTAATGGCCTGGTGATTTGGGTGGCATGGCATTTCCCCCTTCTCTGGTTCATCGCCCGTGATAGGCTAGTGAAGGTGACCACTTAAATTCCTTGCTGTGCAGTGTTCTGTATTCCTCAGGACACAGAGCTTCCTCTCTCCCAGGAGCCATGAACCTCCTGATGCTGACCTTTGTTATCTGTGCGCTGCTAACTCAGGTGACCAAAGGTAATGGAACCTTATAAAGCAGAGCTGATGGAACTAGGATGAGTTGTTGCTTTTGGGCTCCCCTGGTATCGTGATGGGGAAGAGGGAATCTACAGGAAAAACCTGGACCAATAAAGAGCAGCAGAAATGCTCTTGTTTTGGCAGCTCCATGTCCCCAGTCTCTGAGAATCTTTCTGTTAGGGGCATCTAGCAAGCTGGGATGTTCTCTGAGACATTTATCCAAAGACAAGCATTTCCTTAGTACTCTGAGCCACCCTATCTGTCTCTCTATGTAACCATCCAGTGTTAGCCCAGCCTCACTTCACTTCTATTTTGATTATTATGTTGTTGTACCCATTTCATTGTTGTGTCCTATTAGTTCTTCTACCATCTTGAATTCTTCTTTGCCCTGAGAGTAGCTTCAGAGGGAGGCCCTCATTTTCATGTTCTTAGATATGGTGAACAAGTCCATTGACAGTCTCTAGATTCTGTAGCACTATCATACGGAAGAGACAACATATATGTTTGGGGTAGAGGTGGAAATAAGTGGCATGAAGACAAGATAGAAAGACTAGTGAACAATGGGGAGCTTCTAATTTTAGATGAATAGGAACAGCCTGTTTCCACTACTTAATAAGGCTACTTTTGAAAACTGTTAACATTTTATTTAAAAATAATACTTGCAATTGACTTATGTATCAAGCAATTGAGAGATTTATAGGGTTTAGGGAAAAGAAAAGTATTTGCCTGTCCTAGAATACCAGTTCTTCAGTCTTACCCTTCAGAATCAATCAATATTACCAATTTCTTATATATCCTAAAAAATACAAATATATTTATTTACATGTATATATCTTTTAGATTTTTAAAAATGCAGTTGCAAATGAACCATGTGGATTGTTCTGCAATGTACTATGAATATATTAGAGACAACTTATCCATACATAAACCTAGTTCATTATGTTTAATCAATAAGTAAAACTTTGAGGAGGAGGAGATGAATGTCCTCACATTAATTACTCCACTACTGATGAAAAACAGGTCTTTAATTATTACAAACAATTCAGCAAGAAAAATTTGTAAACAAATATATACCTTTCCATTTATGACTGGACACACACACACACACACACACACAGTCAAACCACCTACCAGAAAAGTTGAAGTACTCTCCTATCTCCAGTTGCAAGAGTAACAGCTTCCAAACCCTCATCAGTCCTTTTCTTCTTCTACTACATTCTTCCAGGTTTTACAGTCCAATATGTAAAAATTATGTCCTGCTGTGTGAATTCATGACACTTTAATTATAAATGAGTTTAAAATTTTAGTCCATTAGATTTCTAAACTTTCTTATTTATCTTTATATACTAAGAAATTTGACTTTAGTTAAATTCAGAGGTGTTATATTTTGCCTAGAAAGATGCTATTCGTGACTATTAAATGGATATAACTGTGCCTTTGATCTGTTATGTCTTGATTCACATGTTGATGTAACATTATTAATATCCGCATTCATTTCTGATTATGAACTGTTGTGTCTGTTGAAAATTTTGAACTTTTGAAATTGTAGTAAAAAATTGTAAAGAAGTTAAAAAAGACATAAAAAAATTTGATCTATTGTTCTTCCTCAGTTTTATTTGAATAAAAATGTGTATCCTACTTATAAATTTTCTATTATACTATTAGTATTTTCCCATTTACTAAATATTTTTCAAAAACTGTTTTCCAATGACTGTATAAAAGTTTATTGCACAGATACTGTTCAAATTACTTAGCCAAATTGTTTTTGCATAAATAAGTGCATTTATGTTATAGAGACAAAAATGGCTAGTATGTCCTTTCTTATACATAAATCATTCAGCATAAAATTCTTGGAGATGTACTTTTTCTTGTCTGCTTTATGTATTATCAATATTTGAATACTTGCCAAGTCTTAAAAATGAAAGATTATATGTAAATAAATTATTCATGTCTATGAGTAATGGGGAAGTCAAACTTCAAATATGTTTATTATATATTTTACTTTTCTACAAATTGTCTATGCCTGCTTTTCCCTTTTATTTTGGAGGGTTGGTTTTCATTTCTGTTGATTTAGAGATTTTTATTTTTGTTACCTCTTGTAGGTTTGTTTTGAAATTTAACTATTTATGTGTTTTCAAGTAAGATAGGACCTGATGGCTTGTGAAACAACTTTTTACGAAGCCAAGCTATTGTTAGACTGCTATCAACAGATAAATTTTAAGTTGATGCTAGCTGGTTCTATATCTGGCATGTTTTAGAAAGAATTCCTCACATGGGATAATGTTTTGGCTAGATGGCTCCCCTCCTTAGAAACATACAATTGCTAGCCATATTTCTAATTTCAGGATTTTGAGACACTAGTGACGAAGATCACATGTCCTAATAATATAATAGTTCTGGACTGAACTCTTTTTTTTTTAGAGACAGGGTTTCACCACATTGGTCAGGCTGGTCTCAAACTCTGAACCTCAGATGATCCTCCTGCCTTGGCCTCCCAAAGTGCTGGGATTACAGGCGTGAGCCACTGCACCTGGCTAGGACTGAAACTCTTTGAAAAAAAATGACTGTTGTCACTCTAGAAAAATAAAATTAAGTTACAAATTATTCCCAATTGCCATCATTCTACTGCTTAAACCAAATTATTGGAATTATCTTTGATATTTCTGTATCTACAACACTCACATCTATCAGGAAGTCTGTTACATCTGCCTGCAAATTATATCCAGAATGCAATGATTCTCGCCACCCCCATTGCTACCATTCCGATTCTAGTCACCATCATCTCTCACCTGTGTTACTGTCATAGCCTCCTCATGCTCTCTGTCCTTCTGCTGTTGCCTTCCACTATCTTGTCAAAACACATAGTGCATGATCCACTTACACAGGAAGTCAGATCATGTACTTTGGCTCAAAACTCTGTCATGGCCCCCTTTTCACTGAGAACAATAACCAGAGTTCATGCAGTGGCTCAGCTGGCCCTACAGGATCTGGCCCTTATGACCTCTCTCTAGGACTATACTAGCATATACTAGTATACTGCTATAGTCTTTGTTCACTCCACTATAGTCACACTGTCCCCAGTGCTCTTCCCCAAGCATGTCAGACTTACTCAACCCAGAGAGCTCTGTTTGTTTACCCTGCGTAGAGCACACTTGCCTCGGACACTGGTGTGACTAATTCCTTTACCTCCTTCCAGTTGTTCAATAATCACCTTGTTACACAGGCCTGTGCAACTCCTGTTTATGAATCTTCTATTACTCTTAAATCTACTCTCACTTCTCTCTGCAAACCATTGATCACCTTTTCATCTACAAAATAATGTACTTTGTTTTTTATTGGGGTAAAATATACATATGTAAATTACCATCTTTACCATGTCTACCATATTTTCATGTATACATGTTAGTCATTTGTACGTCTTCTGTTGAGAAATGTCTATTCAGATCTTTTGCCTGTTTCAAAATCGGATTATTTGTTATTGTTTGCTATAGAGCTGTTTGGGCTCCTTATATTAATATATTTTTGGTTGTTAATTGCTTGTCAGATGAATAGTTTGCAAATATTTTCTCCCATTCTGTGGGTTATCTCTTCACTTTGTTGATTGTTTCCTTGGCTGTGCTCAAGCTTTTTAGTTTGATGTAATCCTAATTGCCTAATTTTGCTTGGGCTGTCTGTGCTTTTGAGGTCTTACCCAAGAAATCTTTGCGAAGACCTATGTCCTGAAGTGTTTCCCTAATGTTTTCTTCAGGTAGTTTCATAGTTTTAGGTCTTAGATTTAAATCTGTAAACCATACAGTCTAGCAGGGAGTGCACTTACTTTTTATTGTCTGTCTCCCTCTGCTAGAAAGTCAGCTCCATGTGATTTTTGTCTGTTTAGTCATGGATGTGCCTCAAGGGCCCAGGATGGTGCCTGCACCATAGTAGGGGCCTGAAACTTTGATGACTGTGTGACGATAGCCTAGTTTAAGTTCTGGAGGGGATAATTTAAAACAGGTAAAAGGGAATGTAAATGACAATTTTGAAGAATAAAGGACAGAACGGGGTGATGCAAAGACAAAGAAGAAGAAGAGAGCCAAGATGACATATTTTAAGTATGGATAGTGCTGGAGGAAAACTTAAGATATGAGTCTTTGTAGATGTGAGAAATGAGGAAGCAAGGCTGGAGCTTGTCATGCAAGAAAGAAGTGGAGGGTCTAGACTTGACATTTATAGAAAATTCCATGAAGTACAAAGTAAAATGGAGCCAGTAAAATAACAAAGAGAGAATAAACAGCTGTAGAAGAGGGAAGGTAGAATAAATAATTGGAGAAGTGGGACTAGAGTCAACATTTTCCAGAGGATAAAATATGAACCAAATTATTGTAAGCCTAATACATACATACATCTATATACGCTTTGTGCATATTATCACGTAAAATTCAAGCAAGGTTGTTTAGAGAATTACTTGCTGTTCTGTACATATGTCAGGCTTCCTCCTCCATAGAGCCTTATCTCTAGCTGCTTCCGCTGCCTAGAATACACTTATCGAGGTACTCCTTGGGCACATGTCTTGAGAAAGATGATCATACAGTTTAATGGTTGATAAATGAACATACAATGCAGCACACTAGTTTCCCTTTAGATTTATATCCTCACCCCTCAAATGAGTAGTCACACTGCTTAGAAATCCTACTGCACTTCTCTTGTAAATGAACCTTCCTTTTTTTTTTTTGAGACTGAGTCGTGCTCTGTTGCCAGGCTGGAGTGTTGTGGTGCGATCTTGGCTCACTGCAACCTCCAACTCCCCGTTTCAAGTGATTCTCCTGCCTCAGCCTCCCAAGTAGCTGGGATTACAGGCACGTGCCATCACACCCAGCTAAGTTTTGTATTTTTAGTAGAGTCATGGTTTCGCCATGTTGGCCAGGATGGTCTCCATCTCCTGACCTCATGATCCACCTGCCTCAACCTCCCAAAGTGCTGGGATTACAGGCATGTGCCATCGCACTCGGTCACCTTCCCTCTTTTATAGACAGGTATTTTGTCCTGATCTTTGTCTTTAATTTGCCTGCTCCTCTTCTCTACATGACTCTCCCCCTCAGCTTATCCCATGCTCCATTTATTTAAACACTTAAAATAGGAACTTTTTACTCATTTCCTCTGTCCCCTTTGCTATAGAGAAATGTATCGTCTCCATCTAAAGATCAGTCTGCCCTGTGTGAATTTGTGACTATGCCCTTCTGTCATTTCATCACCCTATTCTATATTAATCCCTTCTTTTCTGCTTATCTCTTTTTCTTTTCTTTTCTTTTTTTTTTTTTTTGTTCGTTTTTGAGATGGAGTCTTGCTCCTGTTGCCCAGGCTGGAGTGCAGTGGTACAATCTTGGTTCACTGCAACCTCTGCCCTCTGGGTTCAAGTGATTCTCCTGCTTCAGCCTCCTGAGTAGCTGGGGTTACAGGCACCCAGCACTACACCTGGCTAAGTTTTTGTATTTTTAGTAGAGACAGGGTTTCACCATGGCCAGGCTGGTCTCAAACTCCTGACCTAGGCAATCTGCCCGCCTCGGGCTCCCAAAGTGCTGAGATTACAGGCATGAGTCACTGTGCCTGGCCTGTTTGTTTCTTTTTTAATGGCTTGCAAACATGGTTTAGTATTTTTCATTCTTCAAAACAAACCTGAAAACCCTCCCTTAACCTTACATTGTCCTCTAACAAGTTATTTATTTTTTTGCTTTCCTTTGAAGCTAAACTTAAGATTTTCATCTTACAGGTCCTACATTCACTTCTCTCTCATTCACATTTTGACCAACTTCAGTTTAGTTTCTTTTCTCATACCACTCAGAAGCTGCTCTCCTCAGTATGAAGTGACCTTCATACTATTAAAAGCATGGACATTTTCCTGCCTTCATCTTTTATTGTTGTTGTTGAGACGGGGTCTCACTCTGCAGCCAGGCTGGAGTGCAGTGGTGTGATCTCAGCTCACTGCAACGTTTGCCTCCTGGGTTCAAGCAATTCTCCTGCCTCAGCCTCCTTAGTAGCTGGGATTACAGGCATCCACCACCACACACAGCTAACTTTTGTATTTTTAGTAGAGACAGGGTTTCACTGTGTTGTTCAGACTGGTCTCAAACTCCTGACCTTAGGTGATCTGCCACCTGGCCTCTCAAAGTGCTGGGAATACAAGCGTGCCCAGCCCCGCCTTCATCTTTTTTAACCTCTCAGCAGTATTTACCCACAAAACGACCACTCTGTCCTTTAAGAAACATTCTCCTCTCCTGCTTAATGTAGTTGTATCTGATAACTTTCCATATAACCTCTATGCAAGTGCTGTTTTTATGCTTATCAGCCAGATCTACATCCCCAGTCTCTCAGCAGCTGCTTGTGAAATATCCTTGTACAAGGCAATCCAGAAATGCCAGAAAATTATCAGCTGTCTCTGGGATTATCTAGCAACTATGGGCTAACAGGAAGCTGGATACATAGTCCAGGTCCTTTGAGCCTCATGTAGAATAATTTTGGGGCTTGGTAATTTTTTTTTCTTGCGGTAATTCCCTTATTTGCAGTTCAAGGCTATTATGGGGAGAAAACGTAAATGGATTTTAGTTCTTCAAGTTTTTTATTATAACTGTGCATCCTTCCATTCTTCAAGGTTTTTCTGTCACTCTGCACCCTCGGGGACTAATGCACAAGTAAACACTTTTATAAGGTTTTTTTTGTTTGTTTGTTTGTAAAAACTAAATGCTATTTTTTTCTTTTACTCTTAGTTGACATATAATAATTGTTCATATTTAGAAGATGCAGAGTAATATTTTGATACATGTATATGATGTGTAATGATCAAATCAGGGTAATTAACATATCCATCACCTCATATCACCTCAAACATTTGTCATTTTTTCATGTTGGGAACATTCAGAATCCTCTCTTCTAGCCATCCGAAAATATACAATAAACAGTTGTTAACTACCATCACCCTGCAGTGCTGTAGAATAGTGGACCCCAACCTCTTCGGTACCAGGGACCAGTTTCATGGAAGACCTTTTTCCAAGGGGGTGGAGGTGGTGGTAGGGATGAAACCGTTCCACTTCAGGTCATCAAGCAGGAGCTAGAGTCTCACAAGAAACATACATCCTAGATCCCTCATGTGCACAGTTTACAATAGGGTTCATGCTCTGAGAATCTAATGCCTCGGCTGATGTGACAAGAGGTGGAGCTCAGGCAGTGATTCTCGCCCACCTGCCGTTCACTTCCTGCTGTGTGGCCTGGTTGCTCAGAGGCGGTGGACCAGTACCCATTAGCTGCCTGGGGGCTGGAGACCCCTGCTACAGAACACTGGAACTTTTTCCTCCTATCTAGTTGTAATTTTCTACCTGTTAACCAACGTTTCCCAATCCCCCTTTCCCTTCTTAGCCTGCAGTAATCACTACTCTACAGTCTACTTCCATGAACTCAACTTTTAAAGCACCTACGTATGAATGAGTTGATAGAGATGAACTTATGATAACAGGTTATAATTCACCTTTTCTTGGATTTCTTGCTTTCCTGATTTCTATATTTCTCCACTGATTTTTTTTTTGAGGGAGGAATTGCCTCTCAACTAAACTATTATACTCAAATCTTTGCTGGGGCTCTGCTTTGCTGGGGGGGTCTGCTTTAAGATTCTAGTGTCTTAGTCTCCTGTTTTGCTCTGACTTATCCTATTGGTCATTTCCTCTTATCTGATCTCTTAAAATTGAAACTCACTAGAATTCAATTCTGGTCCTCGTTTTTCTCATATTATTCCAACCCACCTTGGCTTATCAATTTCTGTACTTTAAATGCTATCCATAAGCAATCACATTTATTTATTTGCATATGTTGAACCAACCTTGCATCCTTGATATGCTGCTAGATTCAGTTTGCCAGTATTTTGCTCAGGATTTTTGCACTGACTTTCATCAAGGATACTGGCTTGTGTCTCTGCCAGGTTTTGGTCTCAGGATGATGCTGGCCTCATAGAATAAGTTAAAGTGGAGTTCTGCCTTCTCAATTTTTGGGGAATAGTTTCAGTAGGAAGGCTATCAGCTCTTCTTTGTATATCTGGTAGAATCCATCTTGTGCTGAGCTTTTCATTTTCGTACTTCTTATCCAGGCTTCATATCAGTTTAAGTATTCTCTCTCTCTCTCTTGCTCTTTTTCTCTTCCTCCCTTTCTCCCTCTCTGCTCCTCTCTCTTTTTCTACCTTTCTCCTTTTCTCCACACAACTTCTTTGATGGCACATAGCACAATTTTAATATATACCTTCTGTTCTCCTGTTTGTCTCTTTCAATGGCATTTTCTATTTGACATCACATTAGTCTTGATGTCAGTGGTAGTACTTGTAAATTTTGGAATGAATGTAAAATTGTTATGTTGATGCTAGAGTTAAAATTTGACCTATATTTTATTATCTACAGGTAGCTTTGCACCCCAAAAATGTTGGAAGAATGATATAGGATATTGCAGAAGACGATGTTTAGATACTGAAAGGTACATACTTCTTTGTAGGAACAAGCTATCATGCTGCATTTCCATAATAATATCACATGAATACACTCGACAACCAGCATTTCCTGCGATTCAGCTAGAGGATATAACATTTGATTATAATTATGTGGACTTTTTTACTGGTTCCCCAGTGTCTGGGTTGAATGATCTGGTAACATTTGGAACAACTAATTCTGGAGAAACCACGACGCTCGAGACCGATACTTTTGAGACTACTGTGCCACCACCCAAGGCCACTACTTCCAAGACTACTGTGCCATCATCTCCTTAGACAGCTCTTACTAATAATGAATTAACATTTAACTTCTAGTATGGAGAATTAGAAACACTGCTGGAAATAATATCCAAAGAGTTTATTCTACCAATCCAATGTTACCAGGAAAATTCCATCAGGGATTGGATGACAATTAGGATGGACCTGATTGCTACTGCCAAAACAACAGCCAAGATAGTTGCCTTACAACTAGAAATGTGTAGACAGAAATGTATAGAAGATACAAGGATTCTTTTAATTGGACTTAAGTTCTTCATCTGTCTTCCTCTGATGTCCTAAAATATGTAAGCTAAATTTTATCTCAACTGAACATTTGTGTGTCTATGTATTTTTCCATGCCAAAAGACAAAAACAAACGCCATTGTTTGGAGCTGCCTATTATGACTAAGACAAGAATTTTTACTTTAACAGTGCCTGGTCCACTGCTATCATATCTAGGAGAACATAAAAAGGCATATAGAAAGAGTTCCAGACAAATGTTCCCTTCTCTACCCTCCACCTTTTATTGCAAGTTCTGACCCTAAGTACTTCTCTGTGTCATGACATCAAATTTTGTTTAAGGTTCTAGCTGGTAACTAAGAGTTAGAGTTAGAAGCTAATTCTTTCATTTAGCGCAAACACCGATCTAACTGGATAGAGATAAAGGTGGGACGTGCCTTGAGAACACATCATATTAAATGAAAAGGTGCATCTCAAATTCTATTTACTTTTCCAATGTTCTTTCCACTTAGAGCCCATCTTCCAACTATGTCAGCCTCATAAAATGTCTCTTCAGGTCCCCTTTCTGTCGGTGAATGCTAATTGTGTGCAGTGTTTCTCTGCTTTGTATGGTGTAGGCATGTGAGTGCTTTTTGTATGGCAACAGATGGGTCAGCAAGTGTCTTCTATGACAGTACAGAGAAGCAGTTATTGACTATAAAGTTGATTGGTTTTTTTAACTTTAAGTTCTGGGATACAAGTGCAGAACATGTAGGTTTGTTACATAGGTATACATGTGCCATGGTGGTTTGCTGCACCTGTCAGCCCAAATAATCTAGGTTTTTAAGTCCCACATACATTAGCTATTTGTCTTAATGCTCTCCCTCCCCTTCCCCCCAACACCCTGACTGGCCCCAGTGCGTGTTGTTCCCCTCCCTGTGTCCATGTGTTCTCATTGTTCAGCTCCCACTTATGAGTGAGAACACGTGGTGTTTGGTTTTCTGTTCCTATGTCAGTTTGCAGAAGATGATGGCTCCAAGCTTCATCCATGTCCCTGCAAAGGACATGATCTCATTCTTTATGGCTGCATAGTATTCCATGGTTATATGTATCACATTTTCTTTGTCCAGTCTATCATTGATGTGCATTTGGGTCGGTTCCATGTTTTTGCTATTGTAAATAGTGCTGCAGTAAACATACAGGTGCATGTGTCTTTATAATAGGATGACTTATAATCCTTTGGGCATATACTCAGTAATGGAATTGCTAGGTCAAATGATATTTCTGGTTCTAGATCCTTGAGGCATCACCACACTGTCTTCCACAATGGTTGAACTAATTTACATTCCCATGAACAGTTTGAAAGCATTCTTATTTCTCCACAGCCTTGCCAGCATCTATCGTTTCTTGACTTTTTAATAATCACCATTCTGACTGGCATGAGATAGTATCTCATTGTGGTTCCGATTTGCATTTCTCTAATTATCAGGGATGTTGAGCTTTTTTCATGTTTGTTAACTGCACAGATGTCTTCTTTTGAGAAGTGTATGTTCATATCCTTTGCCCACTTATTGAAGGAGGTGTTTGTTCTTCTTGTATATTTGTTTAATATATTTCTTGTATATTTGTATATTTCCTTATAGATTCTGGATATTAGACCTTTGTTAGCTGGGTAGATTGTAAAAATTTCCTCCCATTCTGTAGGTTGTGTGTTCACTCTGATGATAGTTTCTTTTGCTGTGCAGAAGCTCTTTCATTTTGTTAGATCCCATTTGTCAATTTTGGCTTTTGTTGCGATTGCTTTTGGCATTTTCATCATGAAGTCTTTGCCCACGCCTATGTCCTGAATGGTAGTGTCTAGGTTTTCTTCTAGGGTTTTTATGGTTTTGGGTTTTACATTTAAGTCTTTAATCTATCTTGAGTTAACTTTTGTATAAGGTATAAAGAAGGAATCCAGTTTCAGTTTTCTATATATGGCTAGCCAGTTTTCTCAGCACTATTTATTAAATATAGATTGAATTCACACATAACACTATTATCCTTAAACATAAATGGGCTAAATGCCCCCAGTTAAAAGACATAGATTGGCAAATTGGATAGAGTCAAGACCCATCAGCATGCTGTATTCAGGATACCCACTGCATGTGCAAAGGCACAAATAGGCTCAAAATTAAGGGATGGAGGAAAATTTACCAAGCAGATGGAAAGCACAAAATAGCAGGTGTTGCAGTCCCAGTCTCTGACAAAACAGACTTTAAACCAACAAACATCAAAAAAGACAAAGAAGGTTATTAAATAATGGTAAAGTGATCAATTCAACAAGAAGAGCTAACTATCCTAAATATATATGCACCCAATACAGGAGCACCTAGATTCATAAAACAAGTTCTTAGAGACCTACAAAGAGACTTAGACTCCAGCAAAATAATCGTGGGAGACTTTAACACCCACTGTCAATATTAGACAGATCAACGAGATAGAAAATTAACAAGGATATTCAGGACGTGAACTCAAATCCGACCAGGCAGATCTAATAGACATCTACAGAACTCTCCACCCCAAATCCACAGAATATACATTCTTCTCAGCACCACATCTCGCTTATTCTAAAATTGACCACATAATTGGAAGTAAAGCACTCCTTAGCAAATGCAAAAGAACGGAAATCCCAACAGTCTCTCAGACCACGGTGCAATCAAATTAGAACTCAGAATTCAGAAACTAACTCAGAACCGCACAGCTTCATGGAAACTGAACAACTGGCTCTTGAATGTTGACTCGATAAACAATGAAATGAAGGCAGAAATAAAGATGTTCTTCAAAACCAATGAGAATGAAGACACAACATACCAGAATCTCTGGGGCACATTTAAAGCAGTGTCTAGAGGAAAATATATAGCACTAAATGCCCCAAAGAGAAACTAGGAAAGATCTAAAATCAACACCCTAAAGAAAAAATATTGAAGGCAGCTAGAGAAAAGTGTTAGATGAGATACAAAGGGAAGCCCATCTGGCTAACAGCAGACATATCAGCAGAAATCCTACAATTGAGAAGAGACTGGGGGACTATTTAAATAATTCTCAAAGGAAAGAAACTCCAAGTAAGAATTTCATACCCTGCCAAACTAAGCTTTATAACTGAAAGAGAAATATGATCATTTTTCAGACAAGCAATTGCTAAAGCAATTCATTGCCACTACACCAGCCTTACAAAAGATCTTTAAGGGAGTTCTAAACATAAAGATGAAGAACAATATCTTCTACCACAAAACCACACCTAAGTACGTAGCACACAGACCCTTTAAAGCTATTACACAATAGGAACGATAAAGCAACCAGCTTACAATTTCATGACAGGATCAAAATCTCATATATCAATATTAACCTTGAATGTAAATGATCTTAACATCCCACTTAAAGGCACAGAGTGGTAAGTTGGACAATAAAATAAGACCCATCCATCTGCTGTGTTCAAGAAGCCGATCTCACAAGTAATGACTACTACACTAATTTTATCTTTTTTCTTTTTCTTTTTGTCCATTGCTTATAAGTTTCATTTTATGGTATGTTATTTTTATTGTATGCCAAATATTGGGCAAATGGGTTTTGGAGACTCCAAGTGATGTCATCTTTTAGCATAAAAAGTCCTCCTTTTCTCCAGATAGCAAAGAGATAAGGACATGATTAATTCAGTATAACAAGGCATTAAGTGGGTTCAGGGCTGGGTTTCAGTGCTAGTAATGATTCCACCTATATCTAGTTTGTTCCTGTTTCTCAGGAATAGCCCTCCAGCCTTTTTCTTCAGGGTCTAGTGGGTCTCAACATCTTCAACCCAAAAAAACAATGAACAAATTCTAGCTCTGCTCTTTACAGTTTTCAAACATTGCTCTTCAGCCTCCTTATTCAGGCACTCCCGTAATATCATAAAAGGGAGACCATCTATGTGTTTGAGGTAGGCTCCATATCACTATCATATCTGTTTTTTATGCACTACAGGAGTACACGAAATCTTGTATTGCCTTTCAGAAGTTTCAGCTGAGCTTTCCAACCTCTCACAAAGCTCTAGTGTTCCAATGCTCCATTAGGGGAAGAAAACGTGGGGCACCTGAAAGCCCAATTTGTAATTCATAGAATCTCTGCTAGTTCTGCTGATTCAATTATTTCCCAGAGAGCCTTTCTTTCCGGACCAAGCTTGACCTCCAGTCTGTCCCAAACTGACAAAGGCACCCAGGGAGGAAATGGCTGGCGACTATTGGCCTCCTCCAGAAACAGAAAGCCTGTTCTGTTCTCTCTTTAGAATATCAACTCTTCTGATACCAGTGATTTCTCTGGTTCCCTAATGCCTTGGAAATATTATTTTAATAAAATCAAGTTTTTCTAGGTTTTGCATCAAAGGCATTGCTTTTCTGTGACTTCATCGATTTCTCCCTAAGAACAAAACTTCTCGATCCAATTTAATCTTAACTTGATTGCTGTTGTGTTTGGCCATTTATATATTTATATTTTCCCTGAATTTTCTATATTTCTATGTTTTCTCCTTTCTTTTAATCTTTCTGTGTACACTAAATGCTCTTTTTTATTTTCTTCCTCACTAGTCCTTAATGTATTCTTAACCTATCAATATCTAATATTAACCAAAAACTTGTATTTCTCCTCAGACAATTCATGGAATACAACTCCATTTTACCGGCCTCCAGTTTATAGTCTATCACTTTATTTTACTTTCATATATTGTAATACCAAGACAATATTATTGCACCCACAACAATTATAGATAGTTCTATTTTCTGGGTGAATCCAACAAGTTATCATTATAAAGTAACTCATTTTCTGCTAAGATAATTTTTGCCTTAAATACTATTTTGTTCACTACTAAGAAGTAGAATAACTTCCTTTTGTTGTTATTTGCATGTTAAGTTTTTTTCCCATATTTCCACTTTCAGTCTTCTCCATATCTTGTTTTTACATTTATCTGTTGTAAATAGCATCTAATTTTTCATCCAGTCTAGCAACTAGAGTTAATCCATAAATATACCAATCTCTGAATAACATGGAACATAGACCACTTGAATTCTATTTAACTCTCCCAATTGATTCTATTTTCAGAATTTTGATGTTTTATTATGTTTTTAAATCTTATAAAACATTTTTACTTAATTCTGCCAGTTTAATCCACTTTTATCCCATTTTTTATTGCTTCTTCATCACATACTTTCCATATGTGGTCATTTTTTTAAACTAAAAGAGCATCCCTTAGAATTTCCTTTCATGAGATCTGCTGATGTCTATCTCTACCTGAAAAGGTTGTATTTATATTTTCTTCTACAAATATTTTCATAAATATGGATTTCTAGGATGGCATTTACTTTTAAAAATATGTTGAAGAAGTCAATCCATTGGATTATGGCTTCTATTGTTTCTGGTGAAAAAATCACCTGTCAGGGTAACAATTATCCTATCAAAAGTGTGATTTCTGTTTTTCTCTCTGACTTTTTCAGCTCTTCTCTTTCTTTGTCATTTTATCTAGATGACAATTTTTATTTATTTTCTGGAATAGTGTTTCTTAGAGTATTTCTAGAAAAATAATAAGATTTATTATCTTTTCAAATTTATGTAACTTTTTGTAATTCTTTTTCTTTAATTTTTTCCCCTTCTCTTTGAAAATCTTATTAATCAGATATTGGCTCTCCTGAACTGACAATATGTGTCTTACATATTTTGCTCATACTTTCTACTTGTTTTTGGACTTCAAAGATTTTCTCACTTTATCTTCAAATACAGCTGTTACTTAGTCATTTTTCTAATTTCCAAAAGCTTACTACTTCTCCTTACATAGCATGATGTTATTGTTTTATGGATGGAACACACTCTTGAAACTCTCCAACTCCTAAGTAATAGTTCTTCTAATGTGACTTTCTTCATTTATTTTCAGTCATATTAAAGATTTTTCACAGATAGATAGCTAGCCTAGCTTGCTTATTAATATTTTATGTATATATTTCATCTATCTATCTAATCTATCTATCTATCTATATATATATATATATATATATATATAGAGAGAGAGAGAGAGAGAGAGAGAGAGAGAGAGAGAGCACGTGCCATTTTATGTGTGCAAACTTGTCCACAGCTTTTGTTTCAAAATGTTTGAACTGTGAAGATAGAAAAGACGTTTGCTGGAATGCATCATATTGAAGTTTATTTCTCATAATCTTTCTTTAGAGGTCGTCACCTAGGCAGAAAAAGTAACTAACTAAAAAAACGAAAACATAATTTCCAGGAATATTTGTGCCAACTCAGGTGATTAATAAAAGAAAATTCTAAGATGACAGCTCTGTAGGCTGCATAGGAAGCAACCAGTTCACATTGTAGAAGAAAGAAGGAATGTCCCAGAGATGAAATATAGTTACAATACACCCTCATCTACTGCAGCACTAAAAAAAGATAAACTCTAAGGCAGGCAAATGTAGCAGCATAAGACTATTAAATAATAAGTAATTTAATGTTCTATTTTATGACATTATTTTAGAGGAGCATCATTTGATCATCTTCTGTTTATCATACATATTTCTTCCATTTATCTTATAGTATCCTTATATAAATGCTAAAATAATTAATCTCAGATTGGATGCTTTTGAAGAGAATTAGCCTATTTGTGTCAATTATTTACTAAAACGAAGCTAAATAACAACAAAAAAGCCTAGTTGGAACAGGGACCAGGTAGGGCAATAGGAAGCTTGCATGAATATTATTAACTCTGAATGCTTTTTCATCAACACTAACAGTGTGTCGTGTCTGTATATTTAATTCATTTAGGATTAAACTATTAATATATTGTATCCTAGGATGGCAGAGTTATTGAGAAGCCCCTATATGCTCCAGGGGATATAGGTTGATATTCTTCAGCTGTCAAAATTCTTCAGCTGACTTCAATGAGCAGTAGTGGCATTTATCACCAGTCATCAAAGTTCTTTTAACCTCCACTTCTTTAGCCTGCTCCTTTAACGGATGGTGGCATGAACATGAAGTTTCTCTCCTAAACGTCTATGATACTCCACAATTCATGGGCTATGCCTCCAGGCTACCAGTACAATCAGATCTTCATGTTCCAAGAAAGGGATCATTAGTTTGCCCTGCAGGATGTGCCACCTTTCTTGGAGAACTGAGTGAGATCTGCTGAGGCATGAATGTGCTCTTGGCATTTCTGTTTATTTGCCCCTTATTACACTGTATTATGTCAGAATGAGGGTTTGGGTTCAACAGTGCTCCAGACTTCCACTGTTCCAAACTTCCTAAATGCACAGTTATGGAATGTGACACAATTGTTGGCAATGATATTTAAACAGAATATGTATTTTTGGTGGAGTCTCTGGGAAAAATTACTAATGGGAGAGATGAGTGATCCAAATATTCAAGTGGTAGACACCCACTTGACTTTGGCTTTCCACTTCCTCCTGTTTGGAACATGGTCATAATGCTGGAGGTAATGCTGCTATCTATAACAATGAGGCAAAAACACTGGGTAAGAGTATGTGAACAGAAGAGTAGAGGGTGATTAGCATGGCGAAGCTGTTATAGAATCTATGGACTTTATGTTACATGAGAAAAATAAAATCTGAATTTGTAATAAATGAACAAAACACGTTCCATTTGACCCAGCAATCCCATTACTGGGTATATATCCAAAGGACTATAAATCATTCTATTATAAGGACACATGCACACGAATGTTCATTGCAGCACTGTTTACAATAGCAAAGACCTGGAATCAACCCAAATGCCCATTGATGATAGACTGGACTGGGAAAATGTGGCACATA